GGAGGTTAAAGTTCTTTAACAGGCTCCTCTGCAGCCCCTTTTCTAGTTCTGAAAAAGTGCAGAAGTGTATTGAGTCACTTTTAAATGATACATCAAACCATGCAAACTGAAGAATTCCAGGCAACACTGAAGGCACTGCTTCCCTTGATGAAGCAGAGCTTTCTGACTCCTTTTGCATAGTCCAGGAGAAAACTTGAATCCCAGAGACAGTTGGCACCTTCTGCTTGCCATTTAAACAATCCCTGCCCAGATCTGTTGGAGCTGGTAGATCAGACTCGCCAGTAACAAGACCAGATAGCAGCAACAAGAAAAACAAAACATCCCACTGTGATGCTGAAACATTTCAGAGCTTTTCAAGGATCAAACACTTCACCCTCATTTTGTCTACCCTCCCCCAGGTCTGTCAGATGCAGGGGGTCTCCTATCTGGCATCTCTCTGGCATCTGAGCAAGAAGCAGGTTGCAAGAAGTAGTGACCATTAGTTCGGACTATGAGGATGCTTCTTTGTCCATTCCAGTTCTATTCTTACTCTTCTTTCCCTGAACTGGCAGTTCATATTATATATAAGCCAGGTTCTCAGACAGACATGGTGAAACAAGACTAGACCAGCTGATTCTCTGTGAGTTTTCAGCCCAGAGCTGTCCTCAATGTCTCTGTAAGAGGCTCCAGTTCAAATCACCATCCTCTTCTACTTTACCTACTTTCCCTAGTGACAAATAGAGTTTTTGGCTCTGGATATATATGCCCACGTAAATGCCATCTTTTAATGGCTTTCAGAGCATTCATGGAGAAGACCAATGAAAGAATTTATTTCTATAATACATGTAAGACTTTTTAATGAAAAACTTGCAGGGCATGCAAAATAACCTGTTTTTAAATGAAATAACGCTGTTCTTTTAAAATCCCTTTCCTAGCCAAGAGATAACAGGGGTCAGTGCACAGTATAGATTAATTGCCTACATAATTTCATTTTAAGAAACAAAAGAACTTTAAAAAAATTGTAGGGTTATATAAAAGCATGTGAAACCACTAAGTCAGCTTTGTTTTCAGCCTCATTCAATAGTGGCAGCACTTTAGATGGGGTGTGAACAGTAAACATTTTCTTGGGGAAAAAATATGTCATAACTTTATGTTCTGGTTCCTGCCTGTATATTGATCATATATTCTCTTGTCCTATTATAATGTTTGCTTTCAGGTTTTTTTGCCCTCTCTTTCTTTGCAAGAGAAATTGTTTTGTCCTCCTAGCCCCTTTCAGTAAGTGAAGTCCCTCCCTGTCCCTGGCTTGGTGTCTCTCATCCTTGAACCTGTGTTGAGCCAATCATTTTTCTGGCAGCAAAAAAGATGAAGAGAGATCCTTCAGCACATCCTTCAGGTCATGAGCCAGAGCAGTTGAGGGAGAGCTGTGTGTATTGCTTCTCCAGAATCCTCTCTCAAATCCTTAGTGTCAGTAGTGTTAGGCTACAAGGCCAGCCCATAAAAGAAGTTTTACTACTGGCTGAGCAGCAATGTCTTTTTTTTTTTTCCTTCCTGTTTTTCTGTCCTTCAAAATAAACAACAGGAAGGGAAAAAGTAGACAGCAGGAGGCAAAAATACAATGGGAGCTGCTGTTGCTGGGCTGTAACCTTACTTGGATTACCCTGTGTCAAAAATACATATCAGCCACTAAGGCTGAGTGGTGGCAGTTTTAACGTGATGCGACCCTGATGACTTCGGACCTCCCATAAAATGCACAAAACAGAAGTCATGGTGGATATATAACCTTTTCATTGTTAAAAGAGCATTTCCACAGCAGGAAAGACACCAGGGTGCAATACAGAACACAAAGGCCTAGATTTAGCTTCAAGATCTTAGCTCTTACAATACTGGTCTCCAGATAATACAGAAATAGATTTATAAC